TGTCAGCATATGCATCTGCCCACAAATGCTGATTTTCAAGCTGTCAAACGCTTGTTGAGATATGTGAAGGTACTCTTCACCATGGTTTGCATTTTACTTTTGGTCCCTTAACTTTTTATGCTTTTTCTGATTCAAACTGGACTAGAGATAGTGTTGATCGCAAGTCCACTTCAGGTTACTGTGTCTATCTAGGTTCTAATATGATTTCTTGGAGTGCTAAGAAACAGCCTATTGTTTCTAGGTCATCTACAGAGGCTGAGTACAGAGCATTAACTAATGCCACTGCTGAATTAACTTGGCTGCAACAGTTGCTGAAAGATATGCATATTACCTCCTCTTCTCTTCCTGAGCTCTGGTGTGACAACATTTCTGCAATGGCATTGGCTTCTAATCCAGTTTTCCATTCGCGCTCGAAACATATAGAAATTGACTGTCATTTTATTCAAAATAAAGTTGTTGCTAAATTGATTGCTTTGAAATATGTTCCAACCACAGATCAAGTGGCTGACATCTTCACCAAACCTCTTTCTACCTCTTGTTTTCTTTATTTGAAAGACAAGCTTCTTGTGCAGCCTTGCCCCATTAGCTTGCAGGGGAGTGCTAAGATACATACATACCCAGCTGCAGCCACCACAGATTCACAGCTAGAGATAGAGCCATCGCTGCAGAAGAAATCAGCATTGATATCTTGTTCATCACAGCTCTATTTTCCTAGATGCTCTTCAGAAAATATCTATAACAAACATAGCTACAGTTGTAATGTTTGTTAGATAGTTAGAGTGTTTGTTAGCTGAGTTAGTTACTGCATTAGTTACTGAGTTGGTTAGTTTACTGAGTTGATTAGTTAGTTACTGAGTTAGTTAGATATTTTTCCTATAAAATATCTTGTACAGTGTGTATGTGATTCATTGAATAGAAAAATTAGAAAAGTCTTTTATTCTTTTCAAAAATTATATAAAAATATAAAATTATGTTAAACTTACTTTTGAAAATTTATTTATTTAGATATTATTTCCCATTAGCATGGTGTCGACTCCTTAAAATGAGTTTTGAATTATATATATGCATATTTTCTCATTTCAAAATATTTAAACTTTATTTATTTATTTTTTTGGTGATATAACTTTATTTATTTTCAAACTTTATAAAATTGTACAACTGGTAGTCAAAACTCAAGTTGAAAGGCCGGGGAACATGAGCGATTGACAATTTGTTGAGGGCAATAGAACCTACAATTAGGTAGGTGAGCATTTACTTATTACTTAAAAAATAATGATAATTATAGTAAATCTACTTAACTATTTGTGTATATAATTAGGGGAAATATCACAATAGTGGTATTTTTAAAAATTTATTACAAATCAATGATAAACTTTATAAATATTAATAATTATAATCTTAAACTTTTTTCAGGAGTTTATACTTTTTTTTTTTTTTTCAAAGTACCATTGATCTACATTTCTCTCATACAATTTTCCTCGTGATGTTGAAATATACTTTACCCTATAGTTCAATTGGACAAAAAGTATAAAATGTTATTTATTTCATTCAAACTAATAACAAATAAAATATACGCCAATTTTGAAAGTGATTTTTTTTTTTGTTTAAATAACAAAAGTGAAATTAAAATGAAAAGCACACTATTATTCCCATCTTCTTCAAATTTAAAAACTCTAATCCTAACCAGTCACACACTTCAACCTTTTCAAAGACTCCACTCTCCAAGCGCATCGCCATTAGCCCTGTTTGGTAGAGTTGTAGGAAAGTACTTATAGCTTATGTCTAAACAGCTTATAGCTTATAACTTTCAGCTTAAGCTGATTTCCAGCTTATTCTTAAAGCATCTCCTGCCCCACTCAAAGAATAAGCTGATTTCTGACTTCCACAAAGTTATAAGCTATAAGCTATAAGTTAAACCAAACACATTAAAATAGCTTAAATTAAGCTGAAAGCTGAAATAAGCTGTAAATAATTTCTACCAAACAGGCACATTGTCCCTTCCCCTTCCGTAGGCATCGTTGTTGCTCCCTCTTCCTCTCCAAGTCTCGTTGCAACCTTATATCCCCTTTAAAGTCCCCGTTGCCTCCTATTTTAGTACCCATGCTTTATTGTCGCCTCCTCTCCAGTCCAGACAACCCTAGTTGCCTCATCTCCCCTCTTCTTGTTTATGGGATTGATTTATAATATAATTAAAATTGAAAGAATTAGAATAAATAAATAAAGATTTATAATTTAGTTTGTGAATTGCTTGAATAATAGTTATGTTTGGTGTAGCTATTAAAATAAATTATAGATTATACATTATAACTTAACAGATTATAGATTATGACTTTAATCAGAAGTTGTTAATTTGTTTGGTATAGTTGTTGGGTTATAGATGTGAGTTGCTGAGTAGTGTTTGTTAAATAAGCTGTGAAGTAACTTTTTTAATTAACTTTTATTTTTTATTATTCACTATTTGTCTACATTTCTCATAAAAAATAATAATAATATTTTATAGTCCATTTGGGTCTTTTTCTATTTTTTAAAAAATAAAAAATAAAAAAAATCTAAGAGTATAACCGTGAATTAATATGTCCACAGCAGAAATTGATAATCAGGAGTAAGGGGTGAACAGCTTCTCAGAATCAGTTTTTTTGACTTAAAATAAGTTGTTAGAATCAGAAGCTGTTTGAAATAAGTTTAATCAAACAGTCTAAAATAACTTTTTAAAAGGCAGAAGTCATAAGTTGGCTAAAAAAAGTCCCACCAAACACCCCTAATGTGGTTTAAGTTAGAAATATTTGTAAAACAAGTGTAAAGGAAAAAAAATATAGGTGGATGACTGTCAAGCTCAAAAATTTTGATAGGTTAATTTGGAGAGCCATCCCCCTTATCGTTCTTTGGTCGCTTTGGAATCTTAGGAATGATTGTGTCTTTGCAGAGGCTCAACCTAGTCTCTCTGGATTGAGTGAAAATATCAAAACTAGAGCAGTACTTTGGCTGAAAGCATCTATTAAAGATCTTCCTTATTCCGTTGATGATTTTACTTTCAATTGGCGCCAAATCAGAGGATGTTCTTAACTGTTCCGAGCTGCTTTGTGTTGAAATCTGGGTTTGTATGGATGTCCTGTGGAGTTTGTTAGCATGTAGACAGTCAGTAGTCTTCAATAATGCATGTCAGTGGCTGGGGATGGTCTGCTAGTGTTTGGCTGTTGTCTTCTTGTTTTTGTCTTGTTTTGTTCTGCTCTGTTTGTTGGTTTCTCACCATCTTGGAGCCTCGAGTGTGTGCTAGCAGATGATTGGGTGTGCGTTTTGGTGCCAACCTAGTTGGGATCCAAATGTTTCACTGTGATGCTTTTTGCACCCTCTTCTTTATTGATGTATTCTTATCATACTTGTTATGTTTTTCATCAATAAAGCTTTTCTTTTGCCGATCAAAAAAAAAAGGAAAAAAAATATAGAAAAGCCAATAGACTTGAATTGAAAGATAATGAAGATCATTTCACGTCTATTATTAATGGAATTAGCACTTATATAAGGACTCTTAAACTGTATGTGAATTATGAATTTAAATAAAAATTTAAAAATAAATAAAAAAATTTATAAAATGTAAATAAAATATATTTATATCTCATTTAAATATAATTTAATTTTTTCTGTTTCACTTTTTTAATTTCTATACAAATTAATAATCCGAACATAACAGGTTAAAAAACCAAAGAAAATAAATTCAGACAAAATATCACATCAAACTCATATTCATTTCACTTTTTTTTTTCTCACAAATATTACATCTAATTACAAAAAAATTTAATTATCTTTCCAAATACAAAAAAAATTTCATTCAAAAATAATTAAAAACTAAAAAAACCTACTCCCTCAGTCCCAAAATAATGGTCCTTTTTGGAAAATCTAATTTTTTTTGGTAGTACAATTATTGCACTTTAAAACAAGTTGATTTTCTAAAATTACCCTTTCGATAGTACATTTTTTGAAAATATCATTATCATAATTGTACTTTTTATATTATTTATTAATTTAAAAGAAAGACAAAATAGAAAATTTATATTATTTTTGTACTTGATTTTTGAAGAGAAACTAATATTTTGGAACAATGAAAAATGAAATAAGAGACTAATATTTTGAGACGGAAGGAGTACTAAAATAACAACTTTTCAAATACTCACAATATATTTGAATAATCTAGTGAGTAAAGCCTTGTTTGGCATAACCTATTTTAGTCCATCTTTTTATCTTTTTGAGTCACATCAATCAACATTTCCTCTCTAATTTTCTATACATCTTTTTATAAAAAGTCAAAAAATACACTTATTTAGAACATTCTAAACCACTCTTAAGTCATTTTGGTGTTAAATCTTTGATTGAATTTGGCCCAATAGTATAAAAAGTTAATTGTCCCGTTTGGTAGAGTTGTGGGAAAGTGATTATAACTTATACCTGTGAACATAAGCTGATTTTTGACTTATAAATTAAGCTTCTCTTCCTATACTCAAAGAATAAGTTGACTTTTAACTTATAAAAAGTTATAACCTGTCTTGTTAAGTTAAATCAAACACATAAAAATAACTTAAATTAAACTAAAAATTAAAATAAACTCAAAATAAACCCTAAAAAAAAGACCATTAAACAATTGCAATATCGAGAGCAGAGGGGATGCAAGCCATACCTTAACATCTCTCTCCCTCCCATGCATGCACATGAAATAGTGCGAGTCATGGAAACTCTCCAAATTTGAAGTATTTCCATTAAAAAATGAAAACCCTAATATAAATTCGCCAATTAGATCCCACAAACCCTCCGAATTTAAGACGCTTGGCCCCGTAAAAACATCCTTATCCTTAATTAATAAAACAAAATTCTCAATTTTTTTCCCCCACCATTTTAACATGCCATCATATCATCATGCATGATTACTCTCTCTCGCTCTCTCTCAGAGTGCAACTTCAGACTATAAATATAGCCTCACCCCCACAGACCCAGGCTCAATAAACCCGCCTTTGAGTAAACAATCACCACTCTCCACCCAACCCTCTCTCTCTCTCTCTATTGTTTTTAGTGTTTTCACTCTCTCTCTCTTTCATTTCCCTTTGCTTTATTCTCGTTGTTCTCATCAAATGGAAGAAGCAATGAGAAGGCTAAACGGTCTGACCCACACACCAGAATCTGATCCACTCCACCCCACCACCACCAGCCTAAAAAGGCTCACTGCCACCGCCGCCGCCACCAACAAAAGGTCGCTGAAAGACGGAGTCGCCGCCACCGCCGCCAACCCAATGAGGTACCGTGGGGTGCGCCGCCGCCCCTGGGGCCGCTACGCCGCCGAGATTCGAGACCCTCAGTCCAAAGAGCGGCGGTGGCTCGGTACCTTCGACACGGCGGAGGAGGCAGCGTGCGCTTACGACTGTGCCGCTCGAGCGATGCGTGGCGTCAAGGCGAGAACTAACTTCGTTTACCCGGCTTCACCTCCACACTCAGTCACCGACAATCTTATCCCTCCGTTTCACTACAAGAAATCATCTCAGCCCTCCATGAGAGACATACCCAACCGAAGCCTTGCTGCTCCTCCTCCTCCTCCTCATGTCGGTGACTTCTCTGGTTCTGTCAACATGCTTCTCTTGCCTCAGACTATGTCTATGTACGATCAAATTCCATACATCGATCACTCTGGTCCTCAATCTCATACTGGGTCTCTCTCTGTCTGTTCTTCTAATATCTCTGAGAGCTTTGCAGGTTCGTTTCTCCCTCACCCTAAAATCGAAGATAATCAAAATCACACTCTAGATTCTACTGCGACAACCGATCAAACTGATGGCATGCAATTCTTTTCATCCGAGTCCTCTGATTCAGGGTTGTTGCAAGAAGTCTTAACTGGTTTTTTCCCTAAACCCAAAATAGCAAAGGCTGAATCCTCAATACCCCAGAATTACACAACCACTGAATCGTCTTCTCATGCTATGGTCTCTGATGTTTCAGTTACCCAATCTCTGAATGGAATTGAGAAGGACCATTTCGGTCTCTACTTTGATTACCAAGGTGGCCCACAACAGCTTCCTTGCGACTTCAATGGTGGTTTTGGGTCATTGTATAACGATAATCTGGGGGCGGAGACCAAGTTTGGGGATATTTTTCAGTACCCAGAACTTCTGGGTCTGGGTGTGTTCGCAACTAAACTGAGAAATGGGTGATTTGATTTTGGTGCAACTTCATATGATATGAGACTTTCAAGAATCGTAAACAGTTTCGTTTTGATAACTAACAGTGAAAGTGCTTTTTATTTTTAGTGTTTTAAAGGTTATTAGCTAAAGGTTATTATTATAATTATATGTAATGCTTTAATGAAAGATTGTGTTGTTTAAATGCTCTCTATTTTCTGTCTTAGTGGGTTCGTTTCCATGCATCTCTCTCTCTCTCTCATGTTAATTGGTTCATAGTTGATTGATGGGTTATTCATGTTTTGTTTAATTGAGGCTTAAAAATTAATTTATTTACTTAAAATTTGAATAATGTTACAATGATCATTTAGTTTTTCTTGATATATTATCATTTGATGTGGTAATTCAGTTTTGATCAAAAGAATTAATTTTATAGTTGATATGGTTGTGTTGATTGATACAGAATTTTATTTTTCTGTTGATAATTTAACAAGATATATCATTGTGAGAAAAAAGAAATTAAGATTGCAAAATTCATTTTTGATACATCTCGGCTATATTTAAGGAAGAATTGTAAAGAAGCAAAAACAGTGGAAAATACTTTTAATTTTGTAGTGTAAATTTTGTGTATATGATCAGAGTTCGTAAATTTTTTTTTTTTTTGGTGTCACAATTATCTAATCTATTTTTATATTTATAATGTAATTATTTTATTAGGATGTCACTTATTTATAATTTTTATTTTATTTAATATTTTTATTGTAAAAAATTCGAGATGGATATATTTGTGGATATAAATTATGTAAGAATTTGTAATTCTAGTTAGATTTTTCATAGAAAAGTAGTAGATGGTTCGGAGTTTGGATTTTTGTGTAAGGAAGTAGGAAAGAACTTATTTGAGTTGACTTCGTAATAGGAAAAGCTGTTTAGTCTGGGTTTCTCTTCTATTATTTGTGTGAGAATACCTGTTATGGAAAAGAAAAAAAAGGCTAAGGAGGTGCTTCTTAAGAAAGCAGATTCTGGGATTTGTATTCTTTAGGATTTGTTCTAGAGTCAATAGTCATTGGGATTCTGAAATAATCCCAATGATATTTTTCTAATCATACACAGATCTTTCGTCTACGTCTAATGACTATGGAGTAAAATTTGAGTTCACATCTGGTCATAAAGGTGGCCACCATGCAATTGTGAACTATCTTATAATATTAGCTTGCACTTATAGAGGGTATTTTGGTGCATTAATTATAATATATATAGCTACTAAGAGAAAAAAATGGGCCTCTAATGTGCATGGGTGTTTGTTTTTGGGAAAAGAAGAGGATAGGGTTAGGGCGGCGTGGGAAGGGTTAGTTTGAGAAATTATTCCATGCTCTTATAGAAGATATGGATCCAGATTAACGGTAATATATCTTTTTGCAATGATTTTGTTTATTGTAATTAACATTATGTATAAATTTAAGAAAAAATTAGTGGAATATCTTTTTTTTTTTTGAATTTTGTGTAATAGGAAAGATTCAAGATTTTTGTCTTTTGTTTGTTAAGAATTCTCAATAAAATTTTTTTGTGATAATATCAGAAAATATTTTTTTGTAAAAATTAAAATTTTTCTGAATTGAATTTCTTCTGTCAAAATGTTGAGGGGTCTTAATTATTTTAAAAATATTATATTTTATTTTATCTTATAAAATTTAATATCAGGATCTTAAATTTTTTTTTTCTAAATTTAAAGTAAAATTATATTAATTTATGGTGTGATTTTAATGTTATTTCATTTCAATTTTAAATTTGATCCCGGCAATATTGTTAGGTGGTATCCCAATTTGAGTATGATTATTTCATATGGTAGAGTTTAGCTTTTTTTGTGTCGATATTTTATTCAACAATAAGAGCATGTTAAGATGGTTAGTGTGTACCTTACCCATTGCACATGTAATTGTATATGAAGTTGAGTCATGATACATGCTCAAATGGCAAATGAGAGTCCGTTTGTGGTAAAAAATCGTTATGAATCAACACAGATAATTTTTTTCTAAATCATCTAATTCAAATGAAAGAGTGGCTTAGCTCATCTTCTAAAACTACAATATGACTATAATTGGGTTGAGATGATTTAAATAAGTGTATTTTTTTAAATTTTTATGAGATATAGGTTGAGTATGGGTTGAGTTTGAAGTGATGTAGTAAAGAGATAATATAATTTAAATAAGATGATGTAATTTAAGTAGGATAATGATTTTTTAATTTTTTAACTTTTTTAAAGGATGTTAAACAAGGCTTAATTAACATTTAAAACATTTTGGCCAATTTTGTCTTTTCCATCATAAAAAAAATTTAAAATATAATAATCTCAAAACATGGTCGAATAGAATATCTTGAGATGGAATGCCAAAAAATTCAGTGATTTATTTCAACTTCTTTAGTACAAAACAAAGATTAATTAATGAAATCAATATATATATATGTATATGTATATATATATATATATTTTTTTTTTTTGATAAAAGAAAAATATTTTGAAATGTTATGATGGCATCTGTGAGCTTATGTCTCAAAGTAACTGGTTGGCGGCCTGATTTGACTCAATTCAAAAGAAGGAACTACTATTGAGGCATCAATGAAACTCAACTATACATTACAGACGAGTTTAAGTTTCGATCGAAGCACGGGACGAGATCTTTGTAGAGAGTTAGCTACAAAGCAATATTTGAATATACTTGTGGAGTCACTATTCCCGTGATAAATCAATAGATACTTGGACCATGATTTATTTAAGAGATGCATGGAGATGGTGTTGAGAGTAATTAAACTGATGATAACTCTTACTTATAGTATTTACCTTTTATTATCATTTATCTTTTCTTTATATCAATATTGTAATTCTAGCAAGTTAAAGGCACCCGATCCAAACCTAACTTGTAATTTGAGTCTTCGTTTGGAATGTAAATTAATTTTTTAATTATTTTAATATGAGGTTAAAATAATCAAATAAATTTTTTGATTTTTTTAAATTTTGTAAGAGGAAAAATATAATGATTATGATTTAATTATGATAATTTTTGACTTAAAATTAAAAAATTTATTTTACCCTTTTATAACTAAAACAACTCTAACCTCACCCAAATTCACATGGCAAAAGGAGCACTGAAGATATCTATACCAGTTCAATCCAATTACTAGAGGCTAAGATTGAATTATTAAAGCACATATTAGGGATAGACACTCGACTCGCCAGGGAGCAACCACTGAAGTACAATTATCGCTGATAAGTTTGTTCGATGCCCATCACTCTCATTAACACATCAGTTTAATTTAGGAGTAGTAGTTGTTGTAGCATTGCACGTGCCTACAAGTATTACAGAATATCCTACCTCAAATTATTATGCTAATAATCCTACACACATCATACAGTCTTCTAGAGGATTATATAATGGCAAACAACAAAAGATACGGTGTTTAAAAGTAACAATTATGTTAGAGACCCTATATAAATTATCAAATGGATTATCAAATCTTTTACATAGGTGTGAGATCTATACACATATGAGAAGTTTGGTAATTCATTTGGAATCTCAAACATTTTTCTTAAGAGTAGTAGTTGTTGTAGCATCAATTTAATCTAAGCACGTTTTACACATTATTACTATTTTTAGTTAAATCTAACAGAAGCTGCACAACCTTTTTTTTAAAAAAATAAAGAGAAAAAAAGAGAGGCTATATTAGCATTTTTCCAAATGTCATTATACTGCCAAAAGTTATATTTTTAAAATAGGATTAATATCTATTACGGTATTTTAAAAACGTTGTTAAATACTTGATGATGTCATTTTACCGTTATGTATCACATTTAGCGATATTTTCAAAAAACGCCACCTATACTAATCTTATAACGTTTTTAAAGCACCATAACGCTACAGCAACGGGTGCGTTCTCGACGTTTACTATTAAACGTTACAAAAAGAATTAACGATATTTTTTACACCTATAATGATATTTTTTAAATGCCACTAAATGCTCAATTTCCAGCGGTTTGCGGTTCGGTTTGGACCCTCCCGCATCTATGCGGTTTGAGAAAAAGTCAACCCGCAACCGCCCGCAATGCGGTTTGCGGTTTGTGCGGATAGGGTTCGCGGATGTGCGGACGGTTGCGGGTGGTTTGCGGATTGAATTTTTTTTTCAAAAATTTATTTTTAAACCTTTTTTTTTTCTCCCATTTTGTCAATCTTTATTTTGAACCATTTTCTTTCCTCATATTTGCTCCAATAGATTGATTCAGACATATACTCTTTCAGATTTAATTTGGACCAACAAATTTAAATAACAGACATATACTCTTTTAGATTTAATTTAATTTTAATAACAGATTGATTCAGAATTCCTGAAAATATAAAACAACTAAGAGTAGTAGTTACAGATTCAAACCATTCAAATTTCAAGTTACAGATTCAAACCATTCCTTAAGCACAAACCATTCAATTCCAAAACACTCACACCTTGATTTTCAATTTAAATTTAATTTAATTCCAAAACACACAAACCACACAAACATTCAAATTTAATTTTCAATTTTTATAAAATTAAATCCTAATCATTTAAAAAATCACTCTAAAGAATCTAGAATACTCATAAGAGGGCACGATCCTCCCGTACATTACTGTCCACTTCAATGATCCTAGATCCAGCCAAGAGTTGCATAACCAATCCAGATGTCACAATGGGGGTGATCCCCAGCTACATGACAGTCCCACGATTTGAGGCAAGAATAACACGCATCCAATAGAATGGATCTGCACCTGTTGTAGAGTGTATGCCATACAGAGGGAGCTGACTGCATACCAGAAAAATAAAGAGAGAGATCACAGTGTATAGAATCATAACTCAGGCCTTGATTTTTAGATAACAGACATATACTCTTACCTTTGATCTAAGATCAAACAGATTCAGATCACACAGAACACAGATTCAGATCACAGATTCAGACCAAAACAAATACGTAGAACACATATTCAGATTTGTTGGTCCAACAAACACACAGAACACAGATTCAGATTCGATTGGGGCGAGAAAGAGAGACAAAGATTGAGAGAGATAGAGGCTTACTCGTGAGTAGATCGTTGCGATGAGAGAGTGAGACGATCGGTGCGATGAGATGAACAACGAGAGAGTGAGAGAGACAATGATGAGATGAGAGTGATCGCCGATCGGTGTAGAAGATGAAGATAAACAACGAAACGAGAGAGTGAAAGAGACAGCGATGAGATGAGATGAGACTG